GGTATGTATAGCTATTTGAAAACAGATAACAATTAATAGTAAATATTGAACAATATTTGACATTTTTTGTTATTTATTATTAGAGTTTTTTTTTTTTTTTTTTTTTTTTTTTAATAAAAGTAAAAAGGAAAAAGAAGACTAATAAAAGTAGGAGTGTTATGCATTCGAATACACACACACTGAGTGCATATAGTACTCTTTAAAGATTAAATCCAACTAGATTTAATGTTTATTTGCCCTATATTATCTTTTTTACTATAAAAATTAAAGTTGAATTAAATATAATTTTTCTTTATTCCATCTAAGAATAATATACATTTTATGATTAAAATTTGTTGCAAAACAATAATTTTTTTATATGTTAAGAAAAATAAATATTTTTGTATACTTTAATATTATTATTGTGTCTTGATTTTAATTGTTTATCATATTATAAAAACACATATATATTATTTTAGGATAGAAAAAGTAGCAAAAGTCTTTTAGATTATCTAAAAGTTGTTCCAATTTAACTTCTAAAGGGATAGAATTCTGGCGGTGTTGGTCTTTTTTTTTTTTTTTTTTAAGTTAAATTTAAGACACTTCCTTAAGAAGTTATAGATAATTAAGTTTTAATGCTGATAATATTTTACTAAATTAAGTGATTAATGAGAAATATGTATTGTTCTTATTTTTTAAGGTATAGGTGTTTCTTTTTTTTTTTTTTTTATCTCGATTGTACAATGAGAAGCAATCATCTCTAATTCTTTATCTCACCCCACTGACATGCCATACGACTCAAACTCAAGATTTCTTATTTCTAACGAAATGAGATAATTACTGAATTATTTAAGTTGTTGATAATGTAGAGGTGTATCTTAATTATTTGTTAATATAAAAAGAAAATTAAACATTAAAATTTAGATATACCTAATCTCCTATGAAAATTTTCAATTTTAATTTTTTTTATATTTTGACAAAAAAAAAAAAAACCATTATCACCAACCAACCAAGCCCAACTCCAAATCTATTGTATTTTTTGGAGTGGAACTTTTGCTATTGATAATTTTTATTGACTTAATTAAAATTTTATATAATTAAATTCATGATTTATATCTGCAAAAAAATATCCACTTGAATAAAACTTTTATAGAAGCTACAATTAAACAAAACTGACTCATAGTGTTTGGTTGGTTGGAGGTCAATTCCATTAAAAAAAATAGTTAGGTAAATATCATACGGTAAGTAAGAAATTGTCATATGAAAAGTTGATAATTTTTGTAATGAAATTTTATTGAAGTTTTATTTGGTTAATTTTTTCAAACGTTTGGTAAAAAATTAATATTAAAAAAAGTTTAATAAAGTTGTCAAATAAATCACATATTCAGAAAGTTAAGAGAAAATTTTCTCTAAAGAAAACATGAAAATAAAAATTAGTTATTAGAAACTATGTTAATAAAAATAAAACTTGAAAATGTCAACCTTGCCCTTTATTTGTTATAATATTAAGATGTAAAAATACTAAAATATCCTTATACTTTCTTGGGTAAAGGGGAAAATGCCAACCAAACACACCCTCATCTTCTCCTCCATAACTATTTTTCTTCTACTAAAAATAAACACGACTTCAGGTCAAAAGAGATAGATCTTGGAATTTGATCTTCATGAAATGGAACATTAAAATAGCGTAATAATTAATTTTACGAGCAATGCATATGCATAACCTTTTTCTTCCTTCCAGTGGTGTGGAACTCTAGCTAGCACAATTCAAAACTTAACTAGGGAAATCACTTTGTTATAATGACTACAACCAAGATTTTACAATAGTTAAACTAGGAAAGGAAGACATTTCATAAGGAGGATTCATCATCATCATCACCATCATCGATCCTTTGGGATCCATATCCTCTGTGTCTCTGTTCTTTCAGTTCTAATCAACTGGAGAATTTAAAACGGCTTGCATTTGATGCGTGCCACAATCCTTTGATGGAGATGCCCATACGTTCGAAGATTTTAGCCACTTCATAGCCCCAACAAGATGTAGTACACAAGCGTTATTGGCAATGCAATAAGCATCCCAAATATAACACTGTGAATTGAAAAATGAAATGAATAATTAGAATAAGAGAAATAGAAATTTACTTTCAGTCTAGATGGGCTCTAAAAAAAGCCAGGTAGGCTTAAAATGACCAAAATATCACTAATAAATCAAGCACACTCATGGATTTATTAATGACATTTTGGTCATATTTTAACCTACGTTGACATCTTTTAGTTAGTTTAGCCTGAAAACTGCAATTTTTGAGAGAAAAAATGAAAATGATAAATTTGACAAAAACTCAAAAGTAGAGGGAAAAGAACAGGAGAGGGCGTGGTGTGTCTGAGAAAATATACTCACGCTGTGCTGAGAATGTCAGGGTGCACGTTGTATTCCTTAGCAAAAACAAAGGGGACAATTCCTTGTGGGAGAGCTGCCTGTGTTTTTGTTTAAAGCAAAAAGACATGTTAGAATTTTGTATCCTACTATTACCAAATATGTTTTTTTCTACATTAATTAGTGCTTCCAATTTTTGTTCAATGAATTTGCTTTGTGCTTCTGTTTTTTTATTAGTAAAAAATCTTATCTTCTGTAAAACCCAATCTTTTAAGGAAAAGCAGAGTGAGGATTGGAGTTTATGTTGTTAAGTAGGATTAGATACGTCAGGAGGAGGCAGAAGGGCCAAAAGGGAAAGATATAAACTACAGGGAGAAGAGAAAAAGAGAGGGTGACAGACCTGTACAATGGCAACGTGTAGGAGAACCCCTTTCAGCCCAACAGCAATAGAAGCAGCTGCCATGACAGCTGGTCCTGCAAGGAATCTCACACCCATGGCAAAAGTTGCTATGGAATTCCCACATGCTATGATCCTCGGTTGCAATGCCATGAACAGACCTGTCAGTACATCAAACACACCATCACCACCACCACTACTATCCTCAATTTGTCACACCCAAAACAAACATTTTCTTTTCCTTTCTTTTCTTTTCCTTTACCTTTCATCATCACTCCCACCAGGAGACATTATCATGACCATTACTATGTTGTGCTTTGCTTTGCTTAGCTAAGTTTGCTTGCTTTATTAATTACAAACATTGAATTATGGGAAAGGATGATAGAGATTAAAGAGAGAAAAGGGTAAGTGGGAATTCTTTTTGGGGGAATATAATGGGGGAAAAGGTGTAATGTTTACTGACCTAGACTGAACATGGCCATGCCAAGGCCTGCATCTGACAGAATGGAAATGGACTTGGCTACGATAGCAGGCATTTGTACATGCCACCTACAAGAAACCAAGCAACAAGTAATCAGAAATGATGAGAACCCCAGATAAATGGGTCAAATTCAAAACCCAACAAAATTTAAAAAAGGAAATGCACAAAGATTCATCTTTGGATTTGGGATTTACTTGAATGAGACTAGGGACCAAGTGAGTCCTATCAAGCTTGAATAAGTGTTGGGGTTTCTGATTAACTTTCTCCAAACCATGATGAGTATCAGCCTTGTCATGACACTTGTTGGAGGCATGGCTTTGGGATTCCCATCTCCCATTTTTTCACCTTCATTGTTCATTTGCCTCTCCATTCCCCTGTTCCCAAAGCTAAACTCATCCCTCTCCAAATACTCTTCTTTATTCCCTGTGGTTCCTTCCACTGAAAATAAAACAATGAACGAAAATCATATAGGGATCAAGGAGAATTGATTTTCTTTAGTTTTAACTAAAAATGTCAATTCAAACAACTACCATCTAATCAAAACTCTGAAGAGCATTTCTGAAGCTTGTTTAAAGTAAAAATTTAAAATTAAATTACTTTTTTGAATGCCTTATTGGAATTGAAAAAAAAAAAAAACTTGAGTTTTAAGAAACTACCTTTTCCTGGAGAGACAGCCAATCTGACTTCTTTCTGATGATCAGTAGCTCCATATTCATGGCTGCCAAAGACATCAGATACAGGGGAAGCACTAGAACTCCATACAAACATATGAAGATCCCGGCCGCCTTCTTCACCCTTGTGTTCACCCTTGTGTTGACCATTAGGCCTCTTAGCATTAGCATTTCCACCGGCTTTAGACCCAGTTGTTGGCGAGAACATACCTGGGTTCGGAGCCGGATAATGTGCTGCTGCAGCCGCACCACCGGTCCCGTTATAATGGAACCTCGGCTTCCCCGAACCGTCCTCCTCAAAATTGGACGACCTAGGCGTCGGCCCTCGTGACGCCGATAACCCATAAACATCGGAAGCCCCAAAATTTGAGTTCCGCCCGCCGGCCATCATGGAGTAGAAATCCGTGTGGTTGAAACTGGACCCTCTTGGAGTTGGATTCCTTGAAGATTGCAGAGAGTATATCTCTGCATTGGTTAAATTCGAAGGGCGAGGAGTGGTGGAGGATAGTCCCTGAGACCTTCTGGAGAAAATATCCGATCTTGAGGCATTGGATTTTCTTACAGTAACATGGAGCTTCCCGTCTTCTTTGATCTCTGCTTCGGTCTCCAGCGGCTGTCGTCCGTCGAGCGACATGACGTCGGAATCGACATGGATGGAAACAATGGAGCCAGCAGTATCAGGAAACTGCTCTGAAATCAGCATTCTGGCGCCTCTGTATTCAAACATGAACAGCATCAAAGTGTACCAAATAATGCATTGGAGCACAACAATTTGCACCATTAAGCTACCGGAGAACTCCCCGTACATCCCCTTGAGCAGGGGAATGCCCATGACCAGAGTGTTGGGCAGAGTGGAGAGGGAGAACAGAGTAATGGTCCATTCCAAGCAGCCTCTTTTGGAGACGTTCGTCCAGACGGCTAGGACGGCAAGGACTATGACCTTCTGGAGAGTATCCGCCGCAATGAAGCGGAGGTTCATGGCGTAAGGATTGTTAGTGGAGATGAAATGGAAGGAAAGCAGAGGGACAGCAAACAGAGCAACAAATCGGTTGATACCGGAACACTGGTCGGGAGTAAAGATCTTCCACCACTTCACCGAGCCATAAGCTAAGATCATGGCCACGTAAAGCGGCACCATGGCAGTCATGACATTGTAGAAGTCTTTAGCAGTGATCATCTTAGTTTCTTCTGGTATGTACCAAAATTCCTCAGTTCAAGAGAACTGTAGAAACAAAGTTTTAAAGGAGGAGGAGGAGGGAGGAAACGGTGGTTCTGGTGGAGGTGATGCTGAGGGTGAGGGTTCGGGTGAGGAGGAGGAGGAGGGGCATGTATTTTGGAGAAGAGGGTAATATAAGCAGAGTGGAGGGATTTTTTTTACACTGTACAGACTTTGAGAGTTGAGAGGGAGCTTGCACTTGCAGTCCCCAAAGCACAGGGGTTTGCCTTTAGTTATTTTTTTAATTATATGGTTTGTTTTTTTGCTTATTTTGTTTTTAGGGGTGTATATATCTTTGTAAATTGGTGTGTATGGCTCTATCTTCTATGGTGGAAAACAGGGGAAGAGGCATATTGGTTTGGGGGAGGAGGTGGGAGTGTCTCCAATTGGTTGTAGAAGGGGCCTCTTAAGCATGACAAAGAGTTAGCTTCTTCTCCTTTCTACATTGTATCATGAAAAAACAATCCTCAATAAGAGGAGGAAATGAATTACATATGTCAGTCTTTTTTTGACAATTCAGCACATTTTAAAAAGGGATTATGAAAAATTAATCTTTTTTATAATTAAAATAATAAAAAAAATGAATATTTCTAATAAATTAATGCGTAAACAAAATTTAATTTTCAATTTTTTATACAAAAATAAAGAGCAAATCCTAAATGAGAGGAGGAAATGAATTATGTATGTCATTTTGGGGATTGTGAAGGAAATAAGAGTCCACGCGCTTGAACGTGCGGACCCTAACATTGAGAGGGAGAGGAGGACAAGTATAGGAGGAGAAGAGATGATGTCTTTCACGTGGGCCCTAAATTGTCGCTTCGTTCCGTTTCTTGACATTTTCAAGTGCTTTAATTACTAGTGGTTTTTCTTCTTCTTCTTTTTTTTAATGTTCACTTTGGTTCTGAATTTTTAATTTTAAATAAATTTTATCTCTTAATTTTTTTTTATTTTTTAAAATTTAACTTTAAAAATTACATATTTTTAATCCTTTTGTCAATTAAGTACCATATGGTAATTAAATCTGTCCAAAATGGCACTTCTTAAATGATGTGTTAATGATAGTTGGATAGCTTAGTTGGACAAATTTATTTTTTAATTATGTAATCAAATGAAAAAGATAAAATAAAAGAAAATTAAAAACTTAATTATTTTAATTAAAAAATAAATTCATTTACAAATTAAAATATTAAAACTTATGAAATGATAAAATACCCCTAAATTATCTTTTCTTCATCCTCATACTTTTTCTTTGCTTCATCCTTTCCCCCTATAAACTCTAATCTCTGGCACCTCTCTTTCTCCCCTTTTTTTATGACCATTTCTCTTCCCCCTCCAAGTTCTTAGCCATGACTACGTTTGCACGAACCCAAATCATCTAGGTTCTATGCTAGATGCATGCAAACCTAGATAAAAAAATTTTCAAAAAGAAAAAAATCATCTTCTTCTTCGTAGAGAACTCTAATAGTGTCTATCAACCTCACTAACAAGAACATTGTTTTTAGAAAACTTAAAGCGAAATCAGAAAACAAGATCTGTTTGATTTGATTCCATTTTAATTTTTGGGATATATTTTAATGGGCATGATGGGGATTAATTTAGATATGAAAATTGAGATTTTGGATCTTCAAT